GCTACATCGCACCCTGACTAGTTTGTCTCCTCCCCATACCCTTCTGTAAGGGATGTCCAGTTTCCTACAGATGGGCTTTGGTTTCCCAATTTACACGCCCCCTCATTCACAATGATATGATTTTTTGTTCTGTGATGCCTGATCCCCGATTCCTTCGACACCTCGTGATCACACAGGCTGCTGTGCTTCTTCTTCCATGTGGGCTTTGTTGCTTGTGAGCTAGATGGCGACTTGTTTACTTTCAAGCTTTTAAGACTCCAGACGCTATATCTTTTGATAGCCGGGCACCATCAGCTTTCTTCACCACATTTGCTTATGTACCTCCTCTGTCTTCCAGCAATCAAGTCGGGAAGGTGAGCATCATGGAATACCAGTTTAATAGAACAAAGTGTTCTTGCATTGAGGGAGTACTTGAGTGGAGGCCTATTGTCTATCTGCTACCTTAATACTAAACCTATTAATATATGCACAAAAATTTATTTCCCCGTCATATATAAATATATATACATATGTACATGCCTGTATTTAGACCTCTATAAATGCCCCTTGCCTCCTAGTGCTTTCCTCTTTTTCCTTTTCCTTTCCTCTTGTCCCATTATCATGCTCAGCCTTCATTTGGGTATCAGTAATTCCTCTTGATCAATCCCTACTAGGCTACTTACATCCTCCTTGCCACTGATTTGGGATCACTTGTTGTTCCTTTGTCCCTGGGTTGGTTAACACCACTTCCTTTTCCCCACCTCCCCCTCTCTCATGTCCCCCTGGAACCATTGGTCCCATTGTTTTCTCCTACAGATTCTTTCTCCAGCCCATCTTATCCAGATAGAGCTGGATATATAATTTTGCACAGAGTGCAAGCAAAAAACTTTGAAGACCTAGACAAACTCACATATACCTAAAATATATGGATGTTTATTGTATTTTGATTGTAGGAAAAAATACAGAGAAACTTAATATATCCATCAGTAAGGGAATAAAAATATTATAGGATGCATACTAGAGAATATTATAAAACATTTTAATAAGTGGATCAGATATAAAAGAATTAATATGGTTGAACCACAGTATGTCTTAGAAAAGCAGATTATTCACAGTTTCAAAACTACCTAAATAAATACTATAAATTGTTTAAGGATATATACTTTTGGGGTTAAAAACATATAAAATAGACCAAGAAGATATTCTGGTTACCTGAGATGGAAGGGAAGGCAAATAATTTGGGGTAAGGAGACTTTATCTACATGAAAAACTTCAAAAAGTTTGTGGAAAAATTCTATTATTTTTCAATTCTTTTTTCTATGAGCTCTTGAAATCCCTTTGTATTTGACATATTTATTAATAAGTAAATACATTTAAAATAAGTACATATGGCAAGTTATTGACATTTGTTAAATTGTGGTACTATGTCCAAGGGTGTTAGTAGTGTACTATTATTCATATTTGTCTGTGGCTAAAATAATTCAGATTAAAAATCTTTAAAAGTCTATATGAAAATGAAATTCTTCTGAGATGAAATTACTTACAGGCCAAGGTGGTGGGACAGAAGTTACCTCTGGAGTGTGAAAATAAGCAACACCATTATGATAAGTGTAAGGATATCCTGTAGAGGTTGTTAGATACATTGTTCCAGCTGCTGGCATGATACTGGAACCTACAGCAAAAATGAAACTAATAATTGAAATGTTCGATTTAATCTTTGAAAATAATAATTTCTGAACACTGGCTGAAGAAAAATTTAATCACACTTGTATTGGTAAAATAAAAATAAAATGTTATAAGAGTATTTTTTTCATATTCTATATCAGTGGTACTCAACCTTCCTAATACCACGACCCTCTAATACAGGTTCCTCATGTTGTGGTGACCCCTCAACCATAAAATTATTTTCGTTGCTACCTGATAAATGTAATTTTGCTAGTTATGAATTGAGCAACCCCTGTGAAAGGGTTGTTTGACCCCCAAAGTGGTCACGACCCACAGATTGAGAACCACTGTTCTATATATTAAAGTATCATTGAGTGTATATTTTGAAATTCACCACCTTCAAGATTCCATTAGCCTAAGATGAATAAAAGAAAATAACCAAGAATACTATAAGTCCTAATACTAATAAAGTGAAACAGAGCTTAACAACTTAAGCTATTATTATCAGGAAGGTTTTTACAAATACAAACTATATAATTTAGAATTATTTAAAGACTATAAACCTTATGGCGAAGATCTTAAGACCTGATTTGTTTGTAAAAGGCTAGAGATAATCGAGGCAGTAATGTTGGAGGATATAAATTTTTCTGAAGATGTTCTGTCCTGACCAACTAATTCTTTTAAAAAAAAATCATTTTATTAGGGGCCCATACAACTCTTATTACAATCCATACACACATCAATTGTGTAAAGCGCATTTGTACATTCACTGCCCTCATCATTCTCAAAACATTTCCTCTCCACTTAAC